TGAATTCAATAACCAACAATTACTATTCTTAAAAGAGTCTTTTCAACATCATCACTTGATAAGACACAGAGTGTGTTGAAACAAAATGGATATTTTTGTAGTGATTTTATAACATACTTATGTTATAATTTTTTTTTTTATAAAAATAATTATATATATATATATATATATATCGTTGAATAGGAAAAAAAAGGAAATTGTTTTACCTGTCTATTATATTCAACAAAACATTTGAATGAAAAGTTGCTGCTCAAATGCACACACACACACACACACACACACACACACACACACATATATATATATATATATATATATAGAACGACCAAGTAACGAAGGAGAATAAAACGTACGCGAAAAAACGAATAAGGAAAGAACGAAGGGGAAATGAATGAACGATAAAAAAAGAAAAGGTGAAATGAATGAAGGCGGAAAGAACGAGCGAGAAAAGCACGAAGGAGAAATGAATGAAAGAGCGAGCATATATATATATATATATATATATATATATATATATATATATATATATAGGAGTGTGCTCGCTCGTTCTTTTACGCTCGTTTATACATATATATATATATATATATATATATATATATATATATATATATATTGACTGCAGCAATATTGCTGTAACCAAATATTTTTATTAAAATTTAGTTTATGTAACAGCCAGTCTATAACCCGCATCAGAAGATTGCGTTTTTCATGAAACTCCAAGTCGTGCTAGCGCTGTGAGATAATATGTATATGTATACTTATATACTTAATAGCTCTGTTATATTACATTAACCACTGTTTTATTAACACCGGAATTCTGTGATACATATGTATGTGTGTGTGTGTGTGTGCGCGTCAATGAAGACAAAAGTAAAACTTATCTTAGCCGTCGATTTTATTTTGTATCAAGTATTTCTATACAAGAGCGAAGATGTTATTGAGTTTTCAAATTTTTTTTTCAACCGTAGCAGCAATAAACAAAAAATGCTCAGCAGTAGCAGCAGTGAAAATATGACAGCTAGCAGCATTAGCAAAAGCAGCAGTGACAGCCTAATCAGCAGTGAAGTCGAAAGTTCTAAGTTTACTCCAGTAATTCTCATAGTGGTTAAAAGTGTTGGTTTGTGAATTTGGGAATATAGCGGTTGTGAGTTCAATCTCTGGGTCGAGCAGTGTGTATTTCCACTCAGTGGAAACGGGTGAGCAAGAACTGTACAGTACTAAATAATAAAAGTAACTACATGATATCCTTAGACATGAGCAATGGGATGAAAACAGTCTTCTCCCGTAGATTAAATAAAAGGTTCAGTTCGGAATTCCCTGTAGTTTACCTAGATCGATATACCCCTGAGGAAGTGCGGACGGCACAACAGCCGAAATGTTGTGATAACAACAACAAAAATGAGGACGAAAGTTTGTGTATAAATAGTGTAAATCATGTTTGAGAGAATTATTGCTGCCGAAAAATATATATATATATATATATATATATATATATATATATATATATATATATATATATATATATATATTTATGTTATGGAAAACTTGGTAATCCGTCCAAGGAGGATGAAATCCTGAGAGCTCAATGTAAATACAGAGCTAATATTTAAAAGAAAAACAGACCACTTTAAGGTACCATTATAATAATTTATTTCACCAGAGCCCTTTTAAAGGACGCCGGATCATCAGATAGCACTTCCAAAAATGAAATGAAACGAAAAATGAAATTAAAATTGATGGGTAGTGTAAGGTTTTGTAATTTAACAGAGAGTGGAAAAGGGGTAGTTATATAATATGAATATGTTGCGATATGTAATTATCGAGGTTTTTAGTACATGTATAGCTTACCTTAATAACATTTTTGTTGAAAATCTTTTTTAGTGTTGGAGAACAACCAAAGTGTTTGTGAATTAAATTTAGAAAAATTCTACCTACATTAGTATAGTAAGGTAGGTTCAATTGATGCGTGTACGAATAATAATAATAAATTGACTATATATATATATATATATATATATATATATATATATATATATTTTATATATATATCCAAATATAGGATTGGTGTATACGGAATAAATTCCAATAACCAACAAATACTATTCTTAAAAGAGTGTTCAATACAGAGTAAAGCAAATATAATTATTTATTTGAAAATTATAACATAATTATGATATAAAATCACTACAAAAATAGGCATTTTTTGTCAACACTTCTGGATTATACATTGAACACCATCACTTGAGGAGACACCTTATACATACATACATATATATATATATATATATATATATATATTTAGTTGGATAGATGTGAGTTTGTGACCCTGGGTTTCACGCTTTAGAGATCGTCAGACAAACAGATTAATTTTTTAAAAAATTGGGTTTATGTAGATTGCGTGTATTGGTTGTTATTGTGGAAGTGGTGGGGGAAATTTCGTCGCTTATGTCATCGTACTAACGCAAACATCGATGTATGCAGACACATATACATACTTGGTCGTCCGTCAGGACTCATACATATATAAACATATGTGGGCAGTTTCGGATATGACATATGTATGTATACGGGTGGTGTTGTGTCTATACATACGCATTTGTATGTTGAAATGTTGAAATTTAAAAACTGGAAGTGTGGCGGAAATGTCTCGTGAATGTATACGTCATATTATGTATTTTTCCGCTGAATATTTCCTCGCATGTATGTATATATGTGTGGTGGGGTTTGTGTAAAATTATATCATATCATATAGACCCGTTATTAAATTAAACTACCCTCTCACCCAGCACATTATATATTAAACATCACCATATAAATTAACCAATAAGGATTACAAATTTCTACCTGTTACATAAAAACAAACAAATAACCAGCTTTAAATATAACAAATAAACCCCTATTTTTTCAAAAATTTAAAAATAAATATAAATAATAATAATTTTTACCTATCATAATTTTACACAAACCCCACCACACGTATATACATACATGCGAGGAAATATTCAGCGGAAAAATACATAATATGACATGTATACATTCACGAGACATTCACGAGAAATTTTCGCCACACTTCCAATCTTTAAATTTCAACATTTCAACATACAAATGCGTATGTATAGACACAACACCACCCGTATACATACATATGTCATATCCGAAACTGCCCACATATGTTTATATATGTATGAGTCCCGACGGACGACCAAGTATGTATATGTGTCTGCATACATCGATATTTGCGTTAGTACGATGAATGACAAAACGACGAAATTTCCCCACCACTTCCACAATAACACCAATACACGCAATCTACATAAACCCAAATTTTTTAAAACATTAATCAGTTTGTCTGACGATCGCTAAAGCGTGAAACCCAGGGTCACAAAGTCACATCTATCAACCAAATATGTTAGCTCTATCTCTGATATTGAGCGCTTTCTAATAAGTACCCGCATATAATATATAAATAATTATACATATATATATTTCTTTATATTTATATACACTTTTCACACAATAGGCATATATATATATCATGGATATATCATTATAAATGCAAGCATTCAGATCAATAGGCATTTGAATCATGGATATTCATTGGAAATGCAAGCATTCACCGTGTCTGCTGAAATGTTAGTGTGTGAACAACGACGAAGCATCAATACACGTTTGATTTTTGATGTATTGAACGTAACAAGATAGTTTCCCCCTATTGAGTTGTTGCGCTACTTAAGAGGTCACGATTTATATTTGGTTTTATATTATATTATATATTTGTACATTGTTTACATGTTTGCCATATCTGCAAATGCTCACAGAACAGAAATAAGATTGTGCAGCGAAAATATAATAGACGATTGGTAAATTGATCCACCACACTTTATAAATTAATATTTTTGTGGATGTTGCGCCAATATTCACACACGCGCACACAAACAGAAACTTTCTTGTCTTGCGAGAAAAAGGCGACTAGCTATGTCAGTTGATTAGAGATTTGTTTGCGTGAGACAAACATTGATTTTGAGTTCAACACATAATAAGCAGGTGGTAGAAAATTGGAAAATGGCATATATTGTTCTTGTTAAGAATATACAAGGTGATCATTTGTGGAAAGTATTGAAGTAAAACACTTGACAAGTGTCAAATGGATATATCGTAAAGTTATTACAAATATAATTTTATGTACACACGCGTTAGGAGATGTGGTGGAATAGGTCAATGAATGTCGAGGTAATGATGTTGTTTGGTTGCAGGGTAATAGTTAAAAAAAGGGCGGGAAAAGAACGAACTAGAAAATGATGAAGAAGAAAAGAACGGAGGAATGGACGATCGATAACAGAAATGAAAGAGAAAAGAACGAGCGAGAAAAGAATGAAGGAGAAAAGAAGGAAAGAGAAATGAATGAACGATAAAAGAAGAAAGGAGAAATGAACGAAGGAGAAAAGAACAAGTGAGAAAAGCACGAAGAAGAAATGAATGAAAGATAAAAAAACGAGCGTAAAAAGAACATGCGTGCAAAGAAAGAAGGAGGAAAAAACGAACGAAAAAGAACGAACGAGAAAATGATGAAGGAGAAAGGGATGAAGGGGAAATGAATAATCGATAACAGAAATGAAAGAGCGAGAAATAAACGAATCAGAAAAAAAGGGAGAAACAAACGAAAGAGAAAAGAAGAAAGGAGAAATGAACGAACGAGAAAAAGAAAGAAGAAATGAACGAACGAGAATAGAATGAGCGGGAATAAACAAAGGATAAAAATACGAAGAAGAAATGAATGATCGATAACAGAAAAGAAAGAGAAAAGGACGAGCGAGTAGAGAACGGAATAGAAAAGAATGAAGAACAAATAACGAAAGAGAAATGAATGAACGATAAAAGCAGAAAGGGGAAATGAACGAAGAAGACATGAATGAACGATAAAAAAACGAGTGTGAAAAGAAGGAGCGAGGAAAGAAAGAGAGGGGAATGAACGACCAAGAAAAGAAGGAATTAGAAAATGATTAACAAGAAAAGAATGAAAAGAGAAAAGACTGAAAGAGAAATAAATGATCGATAACAGAAATGAAGGAGAAAAGAACGAGCGAACAACGAACGAAGGAGAAAAGAATGAGCAAGAAAAAACGAATGAGAAAAAAGCGAAGGAGAAATGGATGAACGATAACAGAAATAAAGGAGGAAAAAAAAAACAAGCGAGAAATGAACGAAGGAGAAATGAAGGATTCAAAATAGAACGAGCGAGAAAAGAACGAAGAAGAAATAGATGAACGATAAAAACGAGCGGGAAAAGAACGCACGAACAAAGAAGAAAGCAGAAAAGGACGAGCAAGGAAAGAACGAACTAGAAAATGATGAAGGAGAAAGGAAGAAAGGGCAAAATGAATGATCGATAACAGAAATGAAGGAGAAAAGAACGAGAGAGAAATGAACGAGAAGTGAACGATGGTGAAAAAAACGAAGGAGAAACGAATAAACGATAAAGGAATGACGAGGGAAAAACGAACGAGAAAAGAAAAAGCGAGAAAAAGTACAGAAAAGAATTGGCGTGGTAAGAACGAGAAAGGAAAGAATGAAGAACAAATGAACGAGCGAGCTTTGAACCAAAAATTATCTTTGAGAAAAGAACGAAGGAGAAATGAATTCACGCTAAAAGAATGGAAAATGAGCGGAGAATGAAAGAGCGAGAAAATTAAAACCAATCTGCAGCGGAAATTGAAAAAAAAAAATCAACCAGAAGCGAAACACTGAAGAAAAGTAAAAGACAGACAAGGAAAAAAGAAATGAATAATATCCAAAAGCAAAGTAGGAAAATAGGTAAATAAAAGGTAAACTAAAATCAGAAAGAGAACGAGGAAGAAACAAAAAAAGAAAGACAATGAAAAGACAAAAAAAAAAAAGAAAAAAAAAAACATGACAAGGGAACAAGTATTAACTTGTATGGCGCGTGCAAATCAAAGTGGGGGAAATGGCAAACATAATAGTCATATTAGATATTTCCTCAAAAGGAAATGTTCCTTATTAATTCATCGTCTGTATTTCTGAGATGAGGCATTATGTACATTATTTACATTATTCGGACTATTGTCCTCATCTTTGTCGCCATATTTATTATAACGAATTTCAGCCGTTGTAAGTTTCGGCCTTCTTCAGCTAGTTGGAATGTTGAACTGAACCCTTTATTTATTATAACAACAAAAATTACAATATGAGCTCTGGTAAAAACAAGGTGTGATAACAGCAAAAATTGCAATATGAGCACCGGTAAAAACAGATAGCTGAAGACATTAGGTTTAAAATACCCAGAAACTCATACACAAATGTCCTCAAGGACACATGGCACAGTGGATAAAGGCGTTGGTTAGATCCAGTGACAGGACCCAATGAGTGTGAGATCAATACCTGGTTAAGGAGAGGAGAAATAACAAGAAATAACTGATACCTGAGATCCATTAAACATGGCACGTGGAAATAAAACAGTGAGCGAAATAAAGGGTTTAGTTTGATATTCCAACCGGCCGAAACGTTGTAATGAATATGGCGACAAAGATGTACGATGTCAGTTGGAATTTATAAAATCCCTCTCTTTAAAAACATATTTCAGTTATGCGTGATACATGACTGACGGTCTCACCTTGGGGTAAGAAGAAGATTCATAAGGATTCAACAGGAAGTTCGATTCGAGTTCGAATTCCAGTCGTATTCCAAGGAAGGTTATTGAAAAGAATAATCATAAGAAGATTGGTAATGAACGATAATATTTAGGACACGAATAACATATATAAGATTCGCCAGCTGTAGGATATCTACCAACCGCCCCACGATGTGGCACAAGGTTGAATTTAATGTGGGCCAAAAAATTCCCCGAAGACCCCATATAAAGCGGGGTCGGGTAGCTGTTCGCCGAAATGACCTTCTGCCCTTCCACATAGCCTCGTCAGAGGCAGAGAGTTTGACCCGCACAGCATGAGACGAATCTCCAACTGCAGGATATGTACTAACCGCCTCACGCGGTGAGACGAGGCACAAGGCCAAATTTAATGTGGGGTATACAAGCCCGTAGGTTAGGCCAAAAATTCCCCGTAGAATTACAAACGGGGTCGGGTAGCTGTTTTATGAGCTGCTTTCGACATAGCCTCGTCTGCGGATCCTCTATGCTGATCAAGAGAATTTGATCAGCGTAGCTGGAAACGAATCTCCAACTGCAGACTAACATACAGTATTTACTACTGTAAATATGTGAATGGGGACATACGCATTATCGTCCATAGGTATGCTACAATAGTTTCTGAAGTTCATTCGCTGTTATAGCTCTTTCCAGTATTGACGGGAATTTCCTTCTTAACGTTTTGTTTCAATTAGTGTGGAACGTCTATATCTTGATTATGTCATTATTTTCTTAGTTACATGTAATATTCTTTTTAGTTATTGCTTGTTCTTGCATGTCCTTAATTGGTATGGTTTTAATTATTTAATAAAGGTATGTTAAAAACTAATATGGCAGCTTAATTAAAAAAAAAAAAAAAACGAAATGAACAAATTTCAAGTCCAAACTCGAAGATCCAGTGGCAGAAAGAAATGTCAAAATCACGAATAGAAGGTCCCATGCCAAAAATCCCGATACACGTAAATTGTCAGAAATCTACCGCATACGACAAGTCACTTGCAAGCCGAGGGACGATAAAAAATAAATTTCTCACAGATCGCGAACTTCAGCCACTTTTATCGACAGAACAATTTTTTCATTAGTCGACGGTTGGAGAGGACAATGTCAGCATATCAGATTAAAATTCAGCTTAGAAATATCAGGTTACAAACTTATTGATACACCCTCGTATCTGTTTCTATATGTTTTTTTTTCTGTGGGTCTGTGCATCTTATTTAATATCACGTACCGTATAGTGATTTTCTAAGCGTAGCTTAAATATGTCACAAGGCCAAAAGTATGGAGCCTGATGGGAGGATCGAACTCTTAAATGTTATAGGGAGATAAGCCGTCTAACCATTAAAAGACGTCGAGGTGCCCTTAACATAGCGTTTTACTCAGAGTAGCTTAGATGTGGCACAATTATGAAACACCCAGTGTGGATCAAACTCACAACTCTTCCGTAATTGCTATAGCGAGACCAGCTTGCTAACCATTAAAGCAAGTCGAGGTATTCGCTCACCGTATGATAAGTGAACAAGTAAACATTGTGTTATATACCATACCTATGAACAATAATGGGTATGTCCCAATCCTCATAAATACATTCGGAGTAATATGCTGTATAAGTAGTCCACCACTAGCAGTGGTTTACCTACTTAACGCCGCTGGCGAGTATTGTATTTTGTTGATCTTATAAAGATTAAGATTTCATTTCCAACGTCCGTTTTGGTTATTCCTCATTTAGTAACCCTTCCTAGGTTCCAATAGTATACCAGCTATGTCAACCTCTCTGCAGCATATGACCACATCAATATCTATGGCTAAGAAGAAGTTTCTTTTTCTTATCCATTAGAAACCGCTTTCATAGTTCCGAACTCACTGAGTTCTATGCTAATTGTTTCTTCTTGTTATATACCTATGTACGTAGGGGTACTATGCTGCCTAAGCTGACAGCTAGAGCTGTCAGCGTAGGAAACTCGTGTCGTGTCGAGCTCTCTGTTTTTGGGTGGAGAGGAACCCGGACGAGACTATGCCGAAATTAAATTTGGCCTTGTGCCACATCCTACCTCGTCAGGAAGCAGGTAAATATCGTAATATGCTTGTCTAATAATTATCTACCACTAGCAGTGGTTTACCTCCATCACGCCGCTAGCGAATATTGTATTTTGTTGATGTTATAAAGATTACATTTCATTTCCAACCTCCATTTTGATTATTCCTCATTCAGTAACATTTTCTAGACTACAACACATTGGAATAGCATATTTAACCAACGATGTATTTTGATATGCGTGACAAGAAATCAAATCTTATTTTATTAAACTTGTTTTAAGTCAATATTTGCAAGCAAGTTTAATGAGATTGTATTCATAAATTTTATTTGGTCGGTTTTATTCCTTGCTTATCTTTCAAGATTTACAACGCCTCAATATTTAAACGGTTTAGTATTTTTTCAGTTGCTGCGTATTATAAAATCATTTTCAATAAACTTCGCTAAGATTTCAATTTATTCAATTTTTCAGCAAGGTATAATCTTATGTACAGTTTAGTTCATACTTTTAAGATTTACTGGTAACTTATGATTATTTTCTAAGCGTAGCTTAGATGTGACACAAGGCCATAAATACAAAGCACCCAGTGAGGATTGAACTCACTATTTAATCGTAATTGATCGAGACAAGCTTGCTAACGATTACACCACGTCGAATTGCTCCTAACGTTGTATCTTATGAAAAATTAAATTTGTTGCTTTGACAAGAGGTTTTGTATGTATAAACCTGTTTATCTCACCAATTTGTACTTCAAGGAGCACTTGTAGAATAAGTAAAACTCTGGGTTGCACTTTAAATTTTAATAAGGAAAAACTAGGAAATTTGAAAATAGGAAAATAAAGAAGTCTCCTGAAATAAGCATTTATTTTAAAAAGATTACATTGTATATTTAAGTATACTTACGTATATCCTGTGTTTTTTCAAACACTAGAATTTTTGGCAACATGCGTTAGCGTTTTGAAATCGCCACAATATTTAAGATTGTTGAAGTTATTGCTAACATTTTTTGTCCAGATTTACAAGCGCTACGTTTCGTTCAATATCGCAAACCAATCGATGAAATTTGAATAAAGCTGATTTGTATAGAAAATACTTTGACAAAAACACTACTTTACAGTTTAATAATTTCTTTAATTTAATTTATAGGACTTCATGGTAAACAATATTTCTAAGAAACTTTCTTTTTTTCATTTTTAACAGCAATGAATAAATTCTTGAGATTTCTTACTCTTGAGCATGTAACATAGAACTATTTCTTTTTGGAGTCAAATTACAACTTTTTGAAGCGTTTGACCTTGTTATTTGTTTAGAGTTCTCGCAAACGCGGGGTGAACTGGAAACTGAATTCTTGTATATATAAAAACTTAAATAAAAGATTTGAAAAAAAATTAAATAATTATTTATTAGTTTAATCATTAATATTGTTTTTAAAATAGTGGGAGTATTTTGTATTTTAAATAATAAAAAAATTAATTTTTCCAAAAAAAATGAATGAAAATTGATTGTACTAAGCTACACTCTCTAGTAAAAATCAACTGCACTTCTCGGAAAAATTTGATTTCGATCGGTCAATGTATGGCTCTTCTGGAGGGTGTGAAAACACTGGGCCTTATGAAACTCCTAGAGCCTTCCAACCTCTCTCTCTCACAGGAGGGATGTGATGAGACTCTCACTACTTTCCCCCTACATCAATGGAAAGTGCTCGGACGAACTACATTCACTGGTTCCACCAGGTCTAAACTTCACGGCTAGAACTCGCCATACCAGTTTCATAATAGCAAACCACTACATTCCCTCCGTATTCCATTGGTGAGAAGTAAGTTTCACTCGAACAGCTTCTTCACATGAACCACTTGCTCAGTGGAACAGACTCCCAAGATGATGCTTCCCCGATCACTATAATCTTAACCTGTTCAAGTCGAGAATTAATCGTTATATTCTACTCCTTTCCGCACAAAGTACCCCTTAACGTAAGCTTCTATCTTGAGTTGCCTCCGGGCCTTATACAGGGCGAACCTTACAATAAAAAAAGAAAAAAAAAGAAAAGAAAAACAACATTGAATTCGACAAAAGAACACATGACATGGAAGGAATGATGGAACTCTGTAGTGTGACCAGACAAAAAGAAGTTGAATTTCAGTGAAGATGATGGAATTGTGTCCTTTTATATAAATGGATAAAAAGAGAATTTGATATTTTCTCATCGTATTCAAGG